ACTCCTGTTGCACTGTAAAGACTAACAAAATTCACTCCAGCATAAGCATCCATGAATCAAAGTTCACTTCATCAGATGCACAGAGTGCATGCCCATCAGAAAAAAATATTTACATACTTAAAGGCACAAGCCACAGAAATCGGGGGTGGGTGGGTGGGTGGGATGTTACCAAGAAAGAACAGTTAGAAAACAACGGCCAAGCAAAAAGAATTCGGTCCGTTCAGAATGAGTGTGTGGACTGTAGGCAGAGTAGGATAACTGTTAAGATCACATCTAATAAAAAAGGTGCAAGGTGAGAAATATTAAGTAGAGCTTTTAGTACCTGTAAAGGGTGGGGCATGTAGGTCTGAACAGAAAACCTTAGAGGAAAGCCCAAGGTCAAAGTTCAGGCTTCCTAGTTCACAGTTTACATTCCCGCAGAGACACTCTCCCGGGAGAATTGGCAAGCAGGAAACAAGGTTTTCTGAGTTTGCATGAGACTGCTAAATTCCTCTTATAACAATGAATTACTGAGAGCATACAAGCTTTTGCAACATTCAAAGATTGTCGTGCCTGAGAAGAACATTCTGTATTCCTAACATAGAAAGCTTGATAATGTAACAATGTTCAAATGAATGAGCTTGCTTTTCTTTCTGTTAATAAAAATGCTGCTGAGAGACAGCCTGTCAGATGAACAGGGACAGTTTTGGTACAGAGAGAGAGAGACAGAGCTGATCTGCAGCTTCAAAGAAATCAGTGTGTTGTGTGATTCTTGAACACCCTATCTAAAGTCTTCAGGGGCAGACTGAGCTATGCGTACCTGGCAGTGAATGAGGAAACCCAAGTCCTTATTGAGCCTGGGGGAGAGACGGCTGTCCACACCCTGACTAATCCTAATTCTGCATTTCCACCTTAAACCATTAGATTATTGGTCCATTCTAGCTCAAGACTGTCTACCTAGACTGCCAGAGACTTTCTAGGATCTCAAAGAAAAGTCTTTGTGAGGGGCCGTGGCTCAACAGCAGGGCATCTGCTTGGCATGCAGAAGGTCTCAGGTTCAACCCCCAGGCAGTAGGTGATGGGAAAGACTTCTGCATGAAACCCTGGAGAGTGCCTGCCAGTCTGAGGGGACAATACTGACCTTGGTCCAGATGGTCTGACACAGTATAAGGCAGCCTCATGGAGAGTTTTCAATTAGTAATGCCCGGGACTGAATCTTTGCCCCTCCATATGCAAAGCATAGGAGCTGTGGTGGCTAAAGTAGTTAAGACGCTGAACTGAAGGCTGTGGAAGGTCAGTAGTTCAGCAGTTCAAGACCCGAGTTGCCGCATGACGGAGTGAGCTCCCGTCTCTAGTTCCAGCTCCTGCCAACCTAGCAGTTCGAAAGCAAGACATTGCAAGTAGATAAATAGGTACAATTTCGATGGGAAGGTAACAGCGTTCCGTGCGCCTTTGTGTTTAGTCATGCCGGCCACATGACCACGGAAACGTCTTCAGACAGCGCTGGCTCTTCGGCTTTGAAACGGAGATGAGCACCGCAACCCTAGAGTCGGACTCGACTGTCTTTCAAGCAAGGGAACCTTTACCTTTACTATGCAAAGCATGCGCTCTACCACTAAGCCACAGCCCCTCTCCTTATTCAGCACTCACAGGAACTACAGATAAATACATCTGTGTTTTTTTTCCCCCTGGGGTATTGCAAGTGAGGGCCAGGTAGCCTGCAGTGAGACTGGAGCCAAGCAACCATTGGGTTCAGGTTTGCCTTCCCTTCTGAGTACCAGCACCAGTGTTCCCTCTAAGCTCCGGCTCACAGATTTTTGCCTTAGCTCAGGAAGGGATGGTTCCATCTATCAATTTAAAACCATGTCCGGAGATTTATTTGTTAAACATAATTCCCAAGGAGTATAAAGAAAATGATGTATATGTACTGACATTCTCACAGCAGCTAGAATTTTGATAGTGAAATATTGGAAACAAGAGAAGATACCAACGGGAAAGGAATTCGCTATGAAACTCTTGGAAGTGGCAGAAATGGACAAACTGAGTGTAATACTGCAAGGCAAAGATGATAAAATATTTCAGAAAAGATGGGCAAGGATATATAAATGGATAAAGGAAAAGAATAAGCAATAGACTCACTTATGTTATATGTATATAAATATCAGTATATGTATGAATATACTCTGTAAAATAATAAATCTTTCCAAAAAAAAAGAAAAAAGGAAGGGATGGCTCCAGAGCAAACTATTAGATGCAGTAGCCAAATCGCTCACTCACAATTTTAATGCCAACAGCTTACAAAGTAGAATTTTTGCTCACAAGACGCCACAGCTTATTTCTTTATTTACTTTCAACGTATATCCCGCCTATGCTAGGGCAAAGCTTAGAGAGAGCATTGACTAGCACCATACCTAATTGTGGAATTCATATAAAAAAATTGCCCATAGCACTGTTCACAAGTTAATGTGAGTGCCCATACAATCTTTATACTAGATTTTTCATAATATGCGCATCAAGTAAGTATCATGTTACATTCAACGCAGGTACGTCTGATTTAAGCCCCACGTTTATTCAGAAAACGATCCCCAAGTTTCATTTGTCAAGTGAAAATGTGCACCAGCTCTTTCTTACAAGCCCGTGTACATGCACACATGCAAGCCACGTATGCATTCACTGCTGCATGCAAACACAGATTCAAGGTACGGCCCCTCGCAAAAGTCCATAAAAACAGTATAAGAAATCAGCAGCCTGAAATCAGCAGCCTAAAATCAACATTTTTAAAAAGGACTATTTCGTGCCCTTGCCAAAGGGATGCCTCCCTCTGGCACTCTTATCTTCTGTTACAGTGCTAGGCAAGGGAACCTCTGCAAGACCCATTCATGCTACCGTGGAGTCTTAATCACCCGGTTCATAAAATGAATGAAAGCCCACCTGACAGGAGCGATGCATCTGCAGCAGTGAATGGGGAGGAGGGATTAATCATCCATCCAAGACTAGCAGCTCTGATCAATCTTGGGAGAGCCACCCGCTTCCTCAATGGGCAACGGATCAACAGCTTGCAAAGATAAAGTGGCCCATTCTCGGCTTCCTACTGTGACTATCGGTCTCTAGCATCTCCCTGTATTTTAAGGGTAACCTAAGCAAGCGTATAAAACATTTCGCACACCAACACAGAGGCCTAATTCCATCAGGCTAGCTCCGAAGCACGTGACACCCCGACCATAATATTTTATCGTGGCTCACAACATTCCAACGCATTCAATGGTTTCCAAGTAACGGAACTGGGGGGGGGGGGGCAGCAGGCGCCTTGGAAGAAAAGGC